TCCAGATCCATCAGAGTTACCCCAGCGACCCGATCAGCTCACCCAGGCAACCAGACAATTCCAGGAAACCTATAACCGTAAACTGAAATTCTACAAGTTGTCTGACGTGACGAATAACATGGCTGCTGTATGTGAAGAAATTGTTCCCACCCACATTTCCGATCAATTTTGCCGGAAGTAAAGAAAATTGAGTGGGATTGAAACACACAACTTCTAAAATGGTCCATGAAGAAACTGAACTACGTGTACATCCAGTCTTGGAGAGCACTGAAGAATGCCAAATAATCGCAAGATAACCACTTGGAATCTTGAGTAACTTGCCAAAGCACATGCTCATTAACAGGCCCTGCTTTAGAATACTGTGTGTGGAAACAATGCCCACTAACAGCAGCTTAAGGAGGCCTTTCCATTTGTACGTTTTTGGGGTGTGTCGCGTACACGATGCGTTCACTTGTTTCTCTCTCGAAGACACAGAAATTGATGCAATTAGCATAACACACGTGTGCGTTGTTTTCAGCCGTCAAAATCACCCCAGGGGCGATTTCGATGGATGCTCAACACTTGGTGCAAGTGTTGACGCGTATATGGAAAGGCGTCTTAAAAGTTCATAATCCTTGCGCACAGTATCCATTTCAGCTTGTCAAAGTGTTGCACAGATGTGAATTTTTTTAACATTGTTTGCCCAGGTCAATGCTGTGATTTACAAAGACTTTTTTTTTCTTTCCGACCAAGAGCGAAAAGCTGTCAAAGCTTGCACGTACATCTCTCTCTCTCCAGTAGACCCGTTTGAAGAGACTACTGAGTGGTTTCCAATGTCAACATAGTCGTTTGGTTTCCATAGTAATTTTTTCTTGCGGTTGCTACGGTTTCCTTGCACTTTACCATCTACTGTAATACCTTTGCAGAATTCCTAAGCAACAAGAAGAACCAGCCTCGAGGAGTTGAACAGCAACTGCGAGCCAGTAAAACATCCCATTTCCTCCTTCCATTTTGAAAAACAATTTCCAATCAAAGAAAATACTAAATTGGTGTTTTGTGCCGACGCCTCCCCATACTGCAGTTTGGATACCAGCGCAGTGACATTCATTCATTAAAATGGCATGTCATAAATTTATTATTATTATAATTCTTTTATTGTAAAGTCAACCTTCCTAAAATCTTAGATTCTGCTTTGCAGAATAGCAGATTGATTCTCTAGAAAATTTATTTTTTAAGGGAAAAACTTGTTTTGACCCATCCTTCCCTTTGTGCAATCTGTGGTCCTGTCGGATCAGCTTCAGTTTATTATGGTTTGAGATACTGGATCAAGACTTTCTCGCCTGCTATAAAAGTCCAAAGACATTGATACAAGACTTTTTTAAAACTTTGTCACAGTTCCCACACTTTGCTATGTCTTAGAATCCTTTAAGCGAGACTTGTATCTATCTTATCCTTTCACCTCAGGAGCTTTGGGAGAGAAAGACGACATGCTAGGCTTCCTGACGGCCTATGACAGCTATCTGAAAAAAGAACAGGATCCAATGACCAACATCAGTGAACCTATGTTCTCATGTAATGAGCTGTCTTCCTGTCACAAACCTCCCCTGCTGTCGATTCTAAACTGAACCGATGTATCACTCTCCTTAGTCCTAGAATTTGGGGAATCTCAGATTCAGGGCTGTGAAGTTATTTCCTAATACCTGAATTCAGTCTTGGAAACTAATCTAATATTTCCAAGATCATTTCATTGTGAACTTTGCAACGTTTACAGCGTTGCACCGAGGTTGTGCCATACTTGAAATTTTGAGCCTTGAATACTGTCTTGTGATAGGGACCTTTGGGTTCGGCTTGTAATAATTTTGCATTAACCTCGTTCAGGAGTAGGAAAAACAACAGGAACTGTAGTTGGTCGACCAATCAGCTTTTCTTATGCCACGTGACCTGTTGCAGGCGTTGTGATTGGATCTTTCAAATGCGATTCATATCTCAAGAACTGCTGGGGGTGGAATACCGAGAACTCTAAAAATGTATTTTTTGAGAATGATGCCTGTCATTTGCAAACAAAAATACAATTCAGGAATGTTATTTGATTCGTTTTGTCCTCACTTTTTCCCCCAACAGCTCAAGCAATTACCAACAGAGCCAAGTTTGAAACCATCCACGACTTGAAATCAGCATACGAGAGTAATTCACTTCAAGCTTTGTCTTACTTTGTAAATAGAGAGTAAATACTCTGGAAGATTCAAAATCCTGTCAGTCTGTCTTAACCGACGTTATCGCCTCCGTAGTGAAGACTTCACTGAGTTTTGCCCGAGGAACAACAAATAAAGAATGAAACAGTATTTACTGCATCTTTAAAAAGTTGTCAGGGAAGGTCTCTTCAGCTTCTGTAACCTTTTCCCTCTATGTATATGTCATGATTGGAGGGCAAGATGTAACTTATTACAGTGTTTGTCTTTCAGATTCAGCAGCAGCAATCTCAGACTCATCACTCTTTTTCATCAATCATTCTTATTTCAGTTTTTAAAGAGCATGTTGAGAAAGAAGAGCAGCAAAAGAATGGTACAGTCCTCATGATTGACACCGAATTGGTGTGGACAGAAGTAGCCACGTAGAGCAAAAGTAGTTGTAGAACAGTCCCAGCACAAGAAACCCAAACTATGTAGCCCAGTGTGCTCTTCTGAACTTCATCGCCCCTGCTTTATCCCTTCCTAGAGTAACTCCACCTTCCAAACCCAAATGATGACACCCAGGGTGACCTTCACTTCATCGCCCCCGCCTTACCTCTTCCTAGAGTAACTT